CTATTGATCAAAAAAAGCAAATAGGATTTTGTAGGGTTCTTAAAGAAGTTCTAAGACAAATAGGATCAAAAATAATGCTTTATTTATCGGATATATTAAATGTTCATTTTTACTGTTGGAATGATTCCGAATCTATTATAGAATCATTTTGTAATATGAAAGTTAAAGATGAAAATATTCGTCTAAAATACGCAAAAACTATTAGACATATATGTTATCGAAATCTTAACAAAATGTTTTCTTTAGGATTTAGCAACGAATGGAAGCCTTATATAACTCTCCTTTATATAAAATTTATCAATCCTAGGCTCAAAAACATGTGTATCGATAGTTTACAGGAACCTTCTGGACTTTTAAAAATCTTTTCTACTTGGTCAGAAAATGCAGATATGGTGAATTTCCTTTATGATTATAATGAAGAGATAGTCTTGGAAATCACGAAATGTTTATCTTCATATTCTATTAAAGAAAATGTTGTATTATTTATATTCGACTTTTATAGAAATATGATTTTACATGCAAATATGCTAAATGAAATTCCAAAAGACGACAGACAATATTCTTCGAAAGATTTTTTTTTAAAACACATATCTATTATACTAAATGCTTTATACAGTTTATTAATCGACCCACAGCGTAAATGGACTAAAAATATTTGCCAACCTCTAATTAATTTACTTTCATCGATTTCATCATTAATATACGAATCTTCTCAGGTTGATATTCTTTTAGAAACAAATATATCTATAATTTCAAAATTTTCAAAACTTATTTCAGAATTTGCAAAAAATAATATTTTCGAAACAGTACAAAACCTTTTACCTTTAAGTCAAAAAATACATACTGATTATAGTTTTTTCCATTATGTTTTTGAAACTCTTATACCAATGTTTGGAACATTAAAAAACAAAAATACAAGAATTACTTTATCCAATTTAATAAACATATTTTCTAAAATTGATCCTAAACTAACAGATGTTTCGAATCTTATATTAGATTTAAATTCATTATCTTCTACTAAATTGGATCAACCGGATTTCAATAGAATATTATCAGCTTTTACTATAATAAATGACTATAAATGGAAAGAATTTAATATAGATAGTTGGGCTTTAATTATTCATAATATGATTTTTTTTATTCAAGACGAAGAAGAATTTTCTATAAGGATAAATGCATCATGTACAATGAAAAAATTTATTGAAAGATTCAAAGACATTCCTATTACTGAAAGAGAACCATATTTAAAACTTCTTTCTTCTTCAATTTTAAAAGCATTAAAAAGAGAAATGAAATTAAATAGGGATCTCGTACGACAAGAATATTTAAGTATTCTGGCACATGTCGCTAAATTTTGTAATTTTTGGGTAAAAGTTTCTGATCTTCAAATTTTGCTAGTTGGTGACGATGAAGAAGCGAATTTTTTTAATAATATCCTTCATGTTCAACAGCATCGTCGTATCCGTGCTCTAAGAAGACTTTGTATTGCAACTTCCGACGGAAAAATAAATAAAAACAATATTTCACAGATATTTTTACCTCTAATAGAAAGTTTGTGTATTTATTCATCGAAACAATATCATAATCTTGTTTCTGAGGCAATTAAAAGTATTGGAATTATTTGTTCTAGTATTCATTGGAATCAATACTATACTTTGTTTAAACGCCATATAAAAAAATTAAAAAATAATGACAAAGCTTTAAAGATAACTATACGTATAATTGATTCTATTGCAGATGCTTTACTTCGTTCTTGCGAATTTTCTTTATTGAATTTGGAAAAAAATATTAAAACAGAGGATTCAGCTGAAACTTTTCTAGAAAATGAATCTAAAAATCAATTAAGCAACAATAATACATGTTTTCACTTAAAAGCTTCAATCGCTGATAATATACCTTTAAAAGATATTATATGTTCAGAATTTATTCCTCCATTAATTCAAATACTTCGTAAAATAGATATATCTACTATAGCTTCAAGAATTCCAATAGCATTGACTATTACAAAACTTTTAAAGTGTTTGAATCATAACGATTTAATTTCAAATTTATTATTAGTTCTTTCAGAGATTTGTAAAATTTTACAGAGTCGATCACAAGATCATAGAGATATAGCTCGAAAAATTTTGTCAGATATTATAGGTTTGCTTGGCCCTCGTTATTTATTGCCCGTCCTTATAGAGTTAAAAAATACGCTTAAACACGGCTATCAACTTCATGTTCTTGGATTTACAGTACACACATTATTGTGTCGTTTACAGGAAAATGCCCCTATTGGTTCTATAAACAATTGTACAGATATAGTTGCAGAAATTTTAGTAAATGACATTTTTGGTAACGTTGGAACGGAAAAAAATTCAGAAGAATATATATCGTCAATGAAGGAAGTAAAAACCAATAAAAGTTATGATTCTTTTGAGATTTTATCTAGTATCATAAATTTAGAATATTTTAGTATTCTTTTAAAACCTATCTTTAGACTTCTCCATAAGGAGTTAACTCTAGAGATCTTAAAAAGTGTGGATATGGTATTTAAAAGAGTAAATCTTGGAATATTTAAAAATTCATTATGTTATACTCATGATGGTTTACGTTTATGTTATAACTTATTCCAAGAAGGAATAAAAGGTTTTAAAACTGAAAGTAATAAGGAAACTAACAAGGAGCATTTTATTCCAGAACGTGATTTATCTATAAAAAAGACAAAAAATAGCTTTTCGAGAAATTCATACAAAATTATTAAATTTTCATTAGATCTTCTAAAAGGAATTTTGTCGAAAGATAGATCTTTAATTTCTTCTGAAAATTTAATACCTTTTATTCCAATAATTGGTGACATGGTTTTATCAGGGAATGAAGAAGTTCATATCTCAGCATTAAATACATTTATTATTTTCTTAAGACTTGATATAGAACAAGTTAATTCGTCATTAAATGTTTTTGTTAATCAGGCATTTTCTTTCATAAAATTATCCGCATCTACTAACACCGAAATATGCCAAACAAGTTTAAAATTTCTTACGTATGTTTTCAAAAGCAACAAAAACATCGAAATTAAAGAAGAATGGCTTGCGTATATTATTACAAAAATAAGACTTGACATAGAGGAGCCTGATAGACAGGATATTACATTTTCCATTATTAAAGCGATAATGTCTAGAAAATATATTTTTCCTGAGTTATACGATTTAATTGATTCTATTTCAAACATTCTAGTGACGAGCCAGTCAAAAGTAACTAGGAACATGGCTAGAGGAATATATTATCAATTTTTACTCGATTATCCCCAAGGAAAAAGCCGATTAAGGAAGCAAATGAATTTTCTAATTAGGAATCTAGAGTATGAACATGCATCTGGTCGCCAATCCGTTATTGAAACTATAAATTTGATTGTAAGTAATTTTGAAGATTCTGCAATAGAAGAATTTTTAGAATTCTTTTTTATTGCTTTAATGATGGTAATTACAAATGATAGCGATCAGCAGTCTAAGACTATGTCCGGTATTCTTTTACAAAAAATTTTTAAGCGTTCTAATAGTTTTATTCTAAATTTCATGACAGGATCTTTAAAAACGTGGTTAAATCAAACAGAAAAAAAATCCTTAAGAATTGCAGCCATTCAAGGTTATAATCTTTTGTTTCAAGCATTACAAAAAACAAAAATGAAAGAAATTCATTGCTTTCTTGAAAAAGCTCAAAGTATTTTAAATGAAAATCTTATTTCTGAAAATTCAAAGGATTATGAACTTATTTATCAAATTATGCTTACAATGTTTAACCTAATAAAATTAGTCCCGGAGATAATTATGTCATCAGAACGATTAACTCTTTGGAAGCTTTTTATGCATCTATTAACATATAAAAATCATAAAATTAGCCTTATTTCGGCAAAGATACTAGAAAGATCATTTTCTTTTTGTAAATCAGTTCCAAAAAAAATGCCTCTAATGTCACCATATGGACTATCATTTACTCAAGATGATTTGAATATGATTTCAAGTACTCTTTTACATAAGTTACATAACTCTGAGTTAAATAAGGAATTAAGTTTTCAGTTTTCTAAAAATTTATTATTTATTGCACGATTTTATTATCTAACTAATGCTAAAATTTCAGACTTTGATAGTTCATTATACATGCATCCAAAACTGGAAAAACTTATGAAATTAAAAAACATAAAATCTTTAAGTTGTCTTGAATGGTTAATATTTAGGCTTTGTATAATTCTAAAAAACGAGAAGAATATAAATTCAGAGGTTCGTTGAATATATATTTTCAATTTATTATTAAATATAACAGTCAGTTATAATTTCCAAACATCAAATAATGGAATTAATAAGAGCACTCATTAATTTTCTTTCTATAAATGATTTAAAAAGCCTTGCAAATACAATTATTAGTCCTTTATATAAATATACAGATAACAAAGTTGCAATGACCAAAACTCAAAAAGGTATTTATTTTACCCCTTAAACCCATTTTTTTAATAGTTTCAAGATTTAAAACACATTTCTGAAAAAGTATTGGACGAATTACATTCTAAAATAGGGACAACTTTATATATCCAAATATTTAATAATATAAGGCAAGAGTCATTAAAAATTAGACAAAATAGAAAATTAAAAAGGTCTATTCTTTCCGTGTCAAATCCTGAGAAACTGGCCAGAAAAAAAATTAAATTAAATATAAAGGTATTTGTATCCATATTAATATATAAAATTAAATTATATCTTAATCTATAACAGAAAATGAAATCAAAAAGAAAGAAATCTGCGCTACTTCGTCTTAAAAATGTTTTAAAATCGTAAACTATATAAAAGTATCAATATCTGTGTTTTTGTCTCAATAATGATAATATGACAATATAAAAATATTTTTAGTATCGAAACTACATTAACTGATAATCTACTGAAATTTTTAAGAACGTTATAAATTCAAATTTTCTAAATTTACTAATAATCCTATCATATCAATTCATATCTAAAATAAACCAATAAAATTTATAATGCTAAACTACTATAAGGATCCCAATCCGGTGGATTTGATTGAAAAGTTAATTTTCCCTTATTATCTATTTTTGCATATTCCATGCTTACTAATACTTCATTTGGCATTCGCTCTATTTCATCTTTTGCTATTCCTAACTCATCCTGTGGTAGCCATATTACTGGAGTTTTTATTTGTAAAGCTTTATGTTGAAATGAAGAAAAAATGATACTTTCTCGTTCTTGAATAGATAAATTTTCGCAATTTATATTAAAATCTGCAGAATGACTAGGGCTTTTAGATCCTTCAGATGTCATATCTTGCATTGAAGACTCATAATCTATATCATTGTAATTAGAATTATATAAATCAAACAATTTACGAATATAATTTCGATTATTATTTTGATTTTGCGAAGTCAGAGGTAAAAATTTTATCAATGGATCAAAACTTTTCTGAAGAAGAATTTGATAAAAAACAGTAAAAATGATCAAGATAATCATAAGAATTCCTTGAACTTTAGTTGCAAAATGATTCTGATCATCACGTGCCAAAAAAAAAAGACCAGTAAGACATGCTTCCAAAAGATATATTCCTGTCATCATTTGATATAACGATCTAGGAAATGCCAAGCCACCTGTGTCAACAGGAAAATCAAAAACGTATAGAAAATTATAAAGATATACAACATAAAAAAGCATAAAAGCAATAATCACAAATACCATTATTAAAGGTGCAATAATAGAATATGTTATTCCAATAACAGAAAGATTAGTAAATCTTGGAAAAGTTGTTCCCCATTCCAAAACTCTAAGTGTAGTAAATCGGGACCAAAGCTTTCTTGGAGTATTATCCATTAATTTCCCAAAACTATAATATAGAATCAGTGTAATTATTTGCAACAATTCTCCAGATGCAATCGATAAGCCTTGCAAAAGAATATAAGAAAAGAAAAAATTACTTGCTCTTGGTAAATTTTGTGCTAAAAGTTTGGGTGTATTTTGAGGATTATTTATAATACTTGCTATTACTGCAGTAATTCCTGATGAAATGGTAACAACAAGAAAAACTTGAACAACAAGAAATGAAAAATACATATTTTGGACGGTTAATTCAACATCTGTTTGAGTCGGAAGGCCTTTAAGTTCAGCAGCAACTGTTTAATCATCAGTATTATTTTTTAAATAAAACTAAATATACATCTCATAATTATTGGAACAGATGCCATTATAATAGCCAGAAGTACACTTGGTAATAAACCTGTTATAAGCCCAGTCACTGATTTAGAAAGATTTCCAAGAAACTCGAGCCATGAAAACTTTTTACTTAAACTTATTACATTTGATAACGATCCAACAAACGCTACTGGAAAAGCAAAAAAAATGACAAGAGAAGCTATGCATATTACAACTATTATTGCGCGGATAAGACGATCCCACCACTTTAGTTGTAAATTATCCCATATAATATCTTTTGGAGATATATGAAGATATTTTGGAGTCATATGAAGTGCATTATGGTGCAAAATATTTTGACAAGCCAAATGAGCAGATATTTGTTCATTAAATTGAATAAAAACGCTATTCATTTGTTTAAACTTCTCAGGATGTTTTTGTTGTTCTAATATTTCTGGATTGAGCCTTTTTAATTCTGAAATACACCAATTGATTGTGTCAACTTTTTTCCCAATAAGTGGAAGAGATATAAACCACGAGAACAAAGGAAGTCTATGTTTAGGTCGTTTTTTAAATGACACATATTTATATACTAAGCCTTTACTAGATTCTATACTATCTAGGTATTGAGCATTTTTAGAATCTAACACTTTCTTTTCTTTTTCCTTATTCTTTTTTTTTTTACTACATTTCAAGGCATTTCGTATTAAACAAGTTTCCGCCTCTTCTAATTGTTGGGCAATAATATCCCTTTTCTCAATCTGTTCTAACAATGGAGAAAAATCTCTAAAAACATAAGAAACGAATAAAAAAAAGAAATAACTACCTGTTTATCCAAACATTCTTGACACCACCAGGATATATACTAAAAAGTTCTTTCAATTTCCCTACATCAAGATATTCATCTGGTACTGTTGTTATAAGAACTGTTGTAGCAGAAGTAGTATTACGATGCTGAGGAGAAGTTAAATATGCCTGTCTAATCTCAATGAAGTGCTTTAATTCGTAATATATCAAATAACAAGTTACACCTATAAAGTTAAGTTTAAATAAATAATAAAAAAAACAGACAAACAAAAAGATACGCGAGAACAAGATGAGCCCAATACTTATTTATATGCTTCGGACTAACATTTCCAAAACTAAATTTATCCAACCCTCGAGGCTTTCCTTTATAAGTCTTATCAATTCCATCAACTGAATTAATTGGAAGCAAAATAGGCCAAATTATTAATAATGAGAAAGAAAAGAGAAGGATGCACATTCTAAGGAATCTAAGAAAAAAATATGCATCTAGACCAGATTTTTTAATAATATGTTCTGGACAAGTTTGATAAAGAAGTAGAAAAAGCTTTAAAAAAGATCTAGGTGGAGACCGAACTTTTTTATCACTTGGAAGGATTTTAATAACCTATTCATATAAGATGGAGAGAAAAAAAGTAAAGAAATTTTATCAAACGCTTCGAGGTTCATATACACGATGTAAGAAATTACGTAATATAAAAAATGCAACTACCTGAATTGTAAACATAACAAAATTTACAGACAATGAAGTAATAAATGCCGGCAAAGACGTTCCTTCTGAATTATGTATGCCTCCAGTTTCACCCATTATATTTTATAATTTTTTGTTATCAATATTTACATATCGTTAATATAATTTCTACTCGCGATGTATAAATATATAAATTTCTTTTATAATTATACATATTTTAAAACATAAACAAAATATTGCACTTTTTTAAAGATAACATATAACAATAGATGCATATATATTTAAAAATATATTTTTTGATATATATATTCGTTAAATATGATTTTTTAAAACTCCATTTTTTAAAAATATCTCTATTTCCCTAAAATTGAAACGTTAAATATATATTTTTTAGAAATATATTTTTTTAAATCATTAATGTCCAATCAATTGTTATATAATATACGATTACAAATAAATTTTTAATGCACAAGTAAAAATAAAATTATTAAAAAGATACATATATAAATCTTACAAAATAATTTTAAACAGAAAATATTTATACTATTTATATAGATAAAAATAATAAGTTATGAAAAATGTATCAATATATATGTTTACATTATTTTTAAATGGTAAAACATGTTTTAAATCATTAATATCACGTGAAAATGAAAACTTAATAGCGAGCATGCTAGGGTTAGGTCAACATGTGACTTGAAAATGTGGTTTAATCGACGTATTGAATTATACAAGATAAAAAACAATGGCTCGACGACCAGCTAGATGTTACAGATATTGTAAAAACAAACCGTTCCCAAAATCTAGGTTTAATAGAGGAGTTCCGGATCCAAAGATCAAAATTTTTGATCTAGGACGGAAAAAAGCATCTGTTAATGAGTTTCCTTTATGTGTTCATTTAGTAAGCGGCGAATATGAACAACTTAGTAGCGAAGCACTAGAGGCTGCACGAATCTGTGCAAACAAGTATTTAACAAAAAATGCAGGAAAAGAGGCATTTCATTTGCGTGTACGACCTCATCCTTTCCATGTTGTTCGTATTAATAAAATGTTATCATGCGCTGGTGCAGATCGCCTGCAAACGGGAATGCGTGGTGCTTGGGGAAAACCTAATGGGACTGTTGCTCGTGTAAATATCGGGCAGATTCTCTTTTCTGTCCGATGCAAAGACTCTAACAAACATATTGCCATCGAAGCCCTTCGTCGATGTCAATATAAGTTTCCAGGCAGACAAAAAATTATCGTTAGCAAAAACTGGGGCTTTACTCCTCTGGATCGTGAAACATATATCGAAAAATGTAAAAATGGGGAAGTTAAACAAGATGGTTGCTATGTTAAATTTCTTTCTAAACATGGAAATCTTGATACAAATATACGCGAATTTCCTAATTTCAACATTGTAACATAATTTTAAGTAAATTTTTAAATTATTTTCATGCACTATATATTTTTTGTTCTTTATTTGATCTCTCTTGTTTATATAAGAATGTATTTAAGAATATCATCTTATTAAAAAATTCTTATAAAGATTCCTTAATACTATATTTTCTTCTATTAAACAATTTTAAAAATAATTTTTATTTTAAACATAAATTTTTAGACACAAAATTTAATTCATAGGATCCAAACAAGTATAAATTTCGTTTATTTCACAAAATAATTAAAAACATATTTTAATGTATTTGTAAAAAATATTGTATAATACTAAAAAATCTTTATTTATTGAAAAAATTAAAAATATTTAAAATTATAGTTATAAAAAAAGTTAAAAATTAATTTCTTTATACATTATAATTAACAAAATTATCTAATGTAATTTTTGTAAGTTTTTAAAAGATATCCAGCTATATTACTAAATTATTCAAAAGAAATGAATAATTACCATTTTTTAAAAATTAAAAATCTAATAAAATCCTTAATATTTTATTAATTTAATTTTAAAATGCCTTTAAAAGCTAAATCTTCTGAAACTTATTCAATAAAAGATGCAAATTTATCACTAATACAAGAACAAAAAGTTAATTATGTAATCTCTTTGTACTATAATAAATGTTAATCATGTTTTTTTTTTAAAAATAACATAAATTTTATTTCACTTTAAAAAAGCTAATATTTCAATACTAAAGCATAAGATTATATAAATAAATATACTCTTTTTCTTTCTTAAAAATTATTTAAATTAAAATAAAAAATTAACGTTATTTCAACAGCAATTAAAAAGCCTAATTCATAAAAAACATGACATTTTACTAAATCGAATACTATTTCTAAAATTTACATAAAACTATAAAATACAAGAAAAAAAATATTAATCCAAACATAACTAACATAATTTATTTTCATAATGCAACCAAACCAAATATTTTAGGGTTTCGAAAGCTTCCAAAATATACAATTTTAATAAATAGCAACCGAGATATTTTAAATGGGAGCAAAAATAAAATCTCCATACGAGGCAAATATAAACAAAAAATAAATCTTTACAAAAATGAATACTGTATAAGCGTCTAAACATAATAATTTATGGGCGAAATATTATATGATATGTAATGCTCTGAAGACAACAATTATGTTGATATAGGAGTTGTTTTAATTGCAATATTCGACAAAAGAAAAAAATTCGAAAAATGAAATAAATTTGAATATAATAATATTTTTGCATAAAACCAAAATTAAAGAATCTTTGATGTCTGAAACTCTTTAATCTTAATTCTTCGAAAAAACATTTCTAAGTCGAGTTTTCATTTACAGAAAAATAATTATATCCTTAAATATTGCCAAGAATTTATAACTACATGCTGATTACCTCACATTTAACGATATTCTCTTTCCCGACGAAAATCTCTGTCATGCCCTCTATCATCATATCGTTCACGACGGAAATCATAGGAATCACGACGATCATGACGTGAAGAGTATCTATCACTGTAACTTTGACTACGCGGTCCACGACGATCATCATAACGATCCCCATAACGATCACCATAACGATCACCATAACGATCACCATAACGATCACTACGACGATCTCTATAATAATTCCGACCGTAAGGATCTGAACGACGAGAAGCATAATTATCTATGTTTAATTAGATAAATACTTAGCAACTCTGACTCAAAACATACCACGCCTACGAGGCCCCATATAAGTACCAGGAGTCGAAGTTCCTAATAATAATTAAATATTCCAATATTAAAAAAAAAAAAGAACATACGAGGACCACCTCTACGGGCTTTTTCTACACTATATAAATGTTTAAAAAGTCATAAACGAAAGAGATAAATCACAGCTACCTGAAAACTCTTCCATAATACTCTTGACCATTCGCAGCCTCAATAGCTTTATCCGCATCTTCAGGTGTAGCCATAGTAACAAAACCAAACCCTCTAGATTCTTTTGTGTAAGGATCAGAGACAATGCTACATTTAACAACACTCCCTAAACGGGAAAAGATTTCTTCGAGCTCTTTTTCATCCATACGAGGTGCAATACCAGATATGAATAAATTAGTCCCTGGATTTTCAGCAGCAACATCATCTTCAATGCTTTTAAAAAAATAAGAATGTCACAAACTCAAAAAATGGAGCTATATTACCGAGGTGCCCGACCACCTGGAGAACGAGATCGTGACATGTCCTGCTTATCATAATTAGTTCCTCGATCCGTACGATCATAGTCTCCTTCAGCACTACGATGGGGATGATCTTCTAATTCCTTATAAACTATCTGCAATTATCAATTACCCAGTGCCATACCATTGCGAGAAGGATCTCTTTCATAATCAGACCATTGATTTGCCATATTTTTCTGTTTTTAAATTTTTTTCTTTTCAGAAATCGTAGATTTTTTCGTTTAGACCCTGGAATGTAAAATTTCTTAATTTTTCAACCCTAACCCTATTTCAAAATTTGACTAGTTTTAAATTAATAAACTTTTTTTAATAAAATTATTAAAGAACTTACTGAATACCCAAAAAGTTTTTAAAATATAATTTAACTAAAGTTTAATCCTGAAAAATTCTTTTAATACGAATTAATATACTTAATTTTAAATAAAACTACATTTAAACATATGAAAAACCAAAAGAATAATGATAAAAATAGATTAAAATTCAAACATTAAAATTAAGAAAATCATAGAAATATTTTTACGGTTAAGCTATATAAGATGTTTATGCTTCCTTGTAGGAATATTAAAGAATAAACAACAAACAATATTCTGTACTTAAAGTATCTTTTTTTGAAAAAAAAAACATGAAAACAATGAACTATAAAAAGAAGTTTAAAAAGTTAAAAATTAATCTCTTAAGGTTTGAGATTTTTTTAAATATTATTTTATTATGATAATATAAATTATGTTTTTTATAGAATGATCATTTATAAATAGAAGAAATCCTAAGAAAAATTAGCAATAAAAGACTATGGGTTATAGTGAACCTAAAGAATTAAAACATATTAAAACCATTGAGAAGTTAATAAGACAAATTACAAAAAATCCAGAAAGATTAACTAAAAAAATAAAATTTGCAAAAAGATAATATAAAATTTATTAAAAATACTGAAAAATCTGAAGAAATTATATTAATACATTTAGAGGAAAAATTATCAAAAGCTAGAATTGTAGCAAAATAAATTAATCTTTAATTATTGACCATAACTAGCATCAATTAGTTAATAAAATATAATGTAGCTGGAATTAAAATTCAATGTTCATAAATTTTCTAAATATTCAAGCTCCAAATTTATATTTAAATGAAATTCTAGAAAAATAAAAATTCTTCATAACAATTATATTTTTAAATAAAAACTCTAGAAAATGCTTTAAATGATTTAGTAATTTTTCTAAATATTTTATATTTTATCAGAGTTCTTAAAATTAATTTGAATATTCAAATATATAAAAATGAGAATTTTAAATAGAATATCTGAAAATAAAAATTATTATAAAAAATATATATAAAAAATTAAATGCATTAGCATATTTTTGGAAAGAATATCCTAATGTAGAAAAAAAGGTATAAAATATAAAAAATATAAAAAGTAAAAATATAAATATAAATTGTTTAAATACATTAAAATCTATTAATAAATAAAATAAAGTTAAGATTAGTTATTGGAATTAGAAAATTTATAGACTGACTTATAATCCAGCATTTTTATTTAAAAAAAACACAAAAACTTTATATAAAAAATATTAATAAAAAAAAGAATATATTATCAATATTAATACATATGAACTATAAAAGCTGTTTTTAAAAAAATATATATTATATTATTTAGAATAGTATAATTTTAATAAGGTTAAATTACATAGTTAACAGTTATTTTCTACAAATAATAATTTAACATAATATTTAATACTTTAAAACATTTAGCAAAAGACAGTTTAAAGAAGTGATTTTACTAATTATTTAAATTTCTTTTGTGTTCATTGAAAAAAATTCTATTCATTTAAAATTTAAGAGTAAAAATATTTGTTAAAAGCTTATAAATACAAAATTTATAATTCCAAATGCAAAAAAACTAAAAATCCAGTTAAAAGGTTTTCAATTTAATAATGTTATTCAAATTTATTTAAAATTAAACAAATATAACTATTAAAATATACCTAATACAAATATTTCCAAATTTTCAAGACTTTCAAATATTTCGAAAAGCATTATAAAAATAAACTAGAGTTTTAATAAAATACATTTTAAAAATATATTGATATTTATAGACACCTTAAAATTTTAAATAGATTTTCGTAATTATCATGAAAAGAATATAGAAAACCTTAACTTTTTTAAAGTTATAAAATTATATATAAAAATATGAATCTAGAAATATAAACTTTATCTTATTTTGAACACATATATTAAATATACAGTACAAAATATCTAAATAGTCTATATTTATATTTATAAGATTCTTTGAAAACGTATTCCACCTATATAAATCTAAGAACTATGCATATTTTTGGAAGATTTCATACAATACCCACACGAGACGGGCTCGTTTTTATTTAAATTAATATATATTTTGGGATGACCAAGAGAGCCATTACCTTTTATATATATAAATATTTTTTTAACAAAGATATAAAACCATACCACCATTACATGATACAATACTTTGATTTGAAAATCTCGTAGGCGTATTTGCAATCAACTTAATTGCAGGATCCGGTTGAGGCTATTAATGAACTCAACCTAATAAAATAAATAGATAATTTTCATATACCTGTAAATCAAAATCAGTTTGTTCAAAACGAGGCCCCATAACTCTAAAATCTTTCAAAGATCTCTTTTGTGATTGAGCAATCCTATAATCTAATACTCGTAAGATATGAATCATATTTTCATTTTTTAAATTTAAACTTATGTTATGTTTAAAACATTTTTTAAAAAACATTAATTCTATTTTATATCCTCTTTTAGGAAAAAAGCCAGATAGAATCATATGCAACGGTTTTTTGGAATTATATTTAATATTAATTCTTATTAATATAATCTCAAATATTTTTTATCAAAAATTTAATTACAAAATAATAAATATTAAAAACCAAATATTTACAGTTATCGACAAATATTTCATATTTTTGTTTTTGAAAACGTTATACTAAACGTTAAAATAGCCAAATATAAAAATTATCGTGTATATAAGAATTTGTTCTTAATAAACATCAGTTTAAAAGATTTTTAAGAATTCATAAAAATTATAGAAAATCCAAAATTCTTAAACAACACGAACCTAATTTTGTAAACAAAAATATTAATCATATATATATAATGATATTAAATTAAAAATATTATCCAATTTAGATAAATTATTAAAATTTTATAAATTTTATATATATCTAAATAAATATATTAAGTACCTATTAATAAGTAAACTACAGTTCTAATAAAAGTATAGATATGAATTTTAGGTTTTATAAAAATTACACATGATGTATTTTTTTAAATAGTAGATCTTAATAATAATCACATTTAAAAACACTATCATAATAATAATATAGTAACATTAAGAATAAATGATTAATCACATTAACAATATAATATTAAGTAACAGCACCTTAAACATCTTAAATATAAAGAATTATTTCTAAGAGAAAAAATTATTTCATCTTTTATTCCAAATAATATCTTCTTTATAATAATACAAAAGATTATATTTTCATTTATATCATATAATAGAAAATTCATAAAAATTTAAACATCTATAATTTATCAATTTTCAAAACATAATATATAATATTAAAATATAAATTTTTTTGAATAAAATATTATTAGTTTCTAATTAATACATAATAAAATAGCAAATCTCAATATTATCATTTAAATAATTAATAAATATATTTAAAACTAATTTATAGAAAAATTAAAAAACTAATTTAAATATTAAATAATTTTAAAATCTAAAAATTTAAAACGTGTAAAAACAATAAGTATTTATTATGATTATAAATAATGATAAAAAATTGATATAAAATCGAAAATATCATAAAAATAATATTAAAAACGAGTAAATACAAAAAATGAAATAAATCTGTATTTCAAAATATAATTATTCTTCTAATCCGTTTTATGAATTCTATTTAAAATACTAGATATAAATTATTACTGTTATTTTCTATTAACATAACCTAATCTTCATATTTTTATATTAAATATTTATAATTAATGAAACTAAACATTAACAAAAAATATATTAAATTAAACAAAAATAACGAAGATATATCTCTAATTATAATAAAACAATATTGATAACAATTTCTTTTTGCACATAAATTTATAAAACTTGAAACTATCTAATTATAGAAGCAGCATTGTTTTTTCCTAATGATTTAATAAGCAACTTCTCAAAAGCACCTTCTTTTTGAATATAATATCTTTTGCATCTTTTCTGTGCCCTATGCAATTCACTTTTTAATCTCTGATTTTTTTCTTTTATCCAATGCAATTTTTGTTTTAAAAGTTTTGAAAGATCATAAAAAGACATCACTGATTCCTCCTCTAAGAAATCAGTTGATTCATCTTGACTATTTTCAGTGAATTCCTTATTGCAAAAGTATTTAGCTTCATTTTTTAAAAGAAAATTTTGAACATCTTTATTCGATATAAAATGAGTTTCTGAATAAGGATTTTGAATATGTGAACTCAGAGTAGATGAAGAAATAAAATCTAGATAATGTACAATTTTCATATGGTTTTCAAGATTATCAAAACGAGCAAACAATTTCTGACATTCTATATATTTAAAAATATGTATTTATTCAATTTTGATTATACCTGGTACTCTACAAAAAAAAAGTTTTTCTCCTATATGAGACCTAAGATGTACAAAAAGTGCAAAACGTGACATTGGTACTATCTTTTTCCGTGAACAATGATCCCATTCACAAATATATGTAGTTCTTGTATTTCCTATATGAACTACATAATAAACAAGAATACAACCATTAAAGATATATTACCATAATACAAATGATTTACAAGATTTTCAAGACTCCCCTGATCCTTAAAACATCTATTCCATTTACATACCGCTGCAATTGATGATTTTTCCCTTGGAACATCAGGTAAAGATCCACTTGTGTCTGATGAAATCGATGAACAATTATCTTGATAAGTTTTTGATACAGATGAATTCTGAATACTAGATTGGCTATCAAATAAACTTAGGCCATTTTTCGAAGATGGGCAATTGATAGTCAATTGAGTCATTTTATTATTTTTAATGAAATTTAGCTTTTAGAAAAATTTATCGATCAACTTATGAAAATTAAGAACTAAAACTTTTAAGTTTCTTTAAAACATTACTTTTTACTTATTTCGTAATAATGGCTTAAAAAATTGCTAAACTATAGATACAAAAATAATAAAAATAAATAATCTTCTAAAGAATATGCAAACTGTTTTTTTATCTAAAATTAAAAAAAAGAAACTATCAAATATTATATAAAATAGTTAACATGTTTTATAAATTTATATTTAATCCCACATTTCTGTATTAAGGGTGTAAAAATCTTAAATTATAAAACAGTTTCTTATGATATTTTTTATAACAATTTACAATACAAGATTGGTTTAAGTTTATTATTAACGTTAATATAAAAAATATCAGTAATAACGATTTTTATAGACTAACATTTAAAAATTAGATATAAAAATCCGAAATATAAATTTCAATTAAAAGTTTTATATTATATTATAAACTTTAATTATAAATATTTCTATTACAAAACAAATTATTCTTTAAACATAAAATATATCTATAAAATTTATGACTAAGAGGAATTTTGAATATTATATAAGTACAGATTTTTTTTTAATATAATGTGTAAAATATATTTAATCATTTTCAAAAAAATTTCTTATAAACAACTATAAATGAAACATGAAACCTTTACATTTTTAATATTATGTTCATCCTAATCAAACTACCAATGCACCAAACTAAATTTCATAAAATTACCTTTTATATAACAAATTTCATTAATAAATAATAACAAGAGAAAAAAATTGGAATTAATAAAAATATCTTGAAAATAATGTTTTTCTTATTTTCTACGGATTATAAAGAAGTTTTTAACATTTCATTTGAGAATAATTTATTAGAATTTTACATGATATTTTCTAATAATATTAATACAAACAAAAAAGTGTTACTACATCTTAATTTTTATGCTATTAATATCATTAGTATCTATAATGAATTTGAAGCATTATCATAATTTTAAAATTAAAATCATTAGTGTTAAAAATTCAGATAATGCATACGTTGTTAATTAAATGAATTTATAAAAGCAATATATATATATCAAAGATAATGCAATACCATTAAAAAGAAAAATTTAATACAAATAAATGACAATTAGGAAAAAATATCTAATATAGATTAGTTATTATTTAGTTAAATCCAAAAGTCTTCAATTAAACTCTCGAAAATTTAACATTTATAAGATATAACATCATTTTTTAATTTTATTTTTTTATATAATATTCAAAAAAATCATAACTCCTCATTTAAACAGCTTAAAAATACAAAAATATACATTAAACTACCATAAGAGGATTTAATAGAACATTGTAATTTTACTCAAGTAAATTCATTATTCAGCAGCAGCCACTCTATACCATCGAATAGCTTTATCAGCGCCAACACTAATAAACCCTTCACCCGTTCTTTTTATGATCCATTTTACACACCAAATTGCACATTGGCTATGATTTTGAGTTCCAACACATTCTTTTTTTTCTATTTCCCACACTTTTGTCGTTCCATCAATTGCTCTATTTGAAGTTATTTAAATAACATTTTTTAAGAACTATTACCCGCTAACAAGATATTCTCCTGTGATGTTCCAATCAAGAGAAAAAATCCATGCTTTATGTCCCGTTAAGTTTGCAACTTGTTCACCCGATTGTACATCATACAAAGCAATTACTTTTGAATCACCAGCAGCAGCAAGAAAAGTAGAACATGGAGAAAATGAAACAGATCTAATAGTTGATGTATGTCCTTATTATTTGTTATTTAATGTAGAAATTTACAAATAATTTACCATGTAAAGAATGCAATAATTTCCCTTTTTCAACACTAAATACATATAAACCACCTTTCTCATGACCTGTAGCGATATATTTTCCATTTTTTGACTAATCTTATTAGAAAAAAAAAAAAGAATTCTAATATACATAATCAATACATATACCAAAATTACCTCTAGTTTCAAGTTGAAGGATATTTTCTCTACTTGATATGTCTAGAAGATTAAGAGACCCTTTATAAGAAGTGGTTGCTAGTATTTTCCCATTAGGAGATAATGCAACAGTCCAAGCTTCACCAAGCTTAGTTTCATTAAAACTCTCCCCTAAACGTGTAATCTCTTTAAATTCTTTAAGGTCCCATATTATAATATCACCCAAAAATCCGGAACTTGCAGCTATGAAAGCATTACCACTTTTTGAAATAGTGACACTATGTCCACCAATTTTATGTGATGGATTAAAAGTGTGAATAAGTGGGTGATAATGTGAGTCAACATCCCAAATTTTCAAATAAGAATCACCAGAAATAGTTAATGCTAATTCAGAAGTTACAGCAAGTGCATATATATCGGCAATATGCGCTATTATAAATTATAAATTTTAACATAAGAAATAAATCCAAGAAACCATTTTCTTCAATATGAGATATTAAATACTGTATAGTCTATTATATATTAGTTTTTTACACTCAAAAAAATCATAATTACCATATAAATTTAAAAAAAATTAGAACTTTAATCTTTAAAATATTTCTATACTTTTTATTAGAAATCTAATTCAATTTAGGGTTAGGGTTAGGGTTAGGGTTAGGGTTAGGGTTAGGGTTAGGGTTAGGGTTAGGGTTAGGGTTAGGGTTAGGG